CCACGCTGCATGTTCAGAAACGCACTGAATACTATGCCACATTCTGCCACCGGGCCATTGCGCCCGTGTTGCTCTGCTCTGTCCACCGGGCCATCCTTATTGCCGCCAGTCCCGGCTGCCCTTCCTGCCACCGGGCCAGCATATCCGTGAGGTCGTCCGGCGACACCCTGTGCTGCCAGTGTTTCACCACACCCCGCAGGGTGTGCGGCGAGGCGGAGCCGATGGCGACAGCCGCACGGGCAGCCTCCTCCTGACGGTACAGTCGCACCACCACGCAGCGTTTCTCCGGTCGGTGCCCGCAGGTGTGATACGGCAACCGGTTGCGCGTAACCGGCTTTTCAGGCAGCAGCACCTCCGGGAACAGCACCAGACGCTCGGCATCCGTCAGCGGACTGAGGCAGAGCTTCCCCTGTGTGGCAACCGTCACCGACAGGGCGTACTCCCAGGCGAGTACGGGGTTTTCGTGGCGTGCCTGACGAACAGGCGGCGCGGGTTTATCGCCTGACCGCCCCGCAAGGTGGCGGACGCAGGCCGCGAGCCATTTCACCATGTGAGCGCTTCTCCTAATTCGTCCGCTATTGCCAGCGCACCGTATCCGCCACGCAGACAGTCATCCACCTGCGCCAGCAGGTCAGAGAGCGCGTCAGGGTAAAATTCGGCGGCGGCATGCAGCACCCGCACCCGCTGCGCCGGATGCGCCTGTATCACCAGTACCCATAACGGGCTGACGTCACCCGGACTGCACAAACTGAGTGTCAGCGGTTTATCGAGGTCGGGAGTCAGGCGGCACTGCACCGGAAACAGACCACCAAACTCGCTCTGCCACTCTCCGGCAATATGCCAGCCAAAGGGTATGTTCAGGTCGGCTATCACGCAGTTGGTCATACGCTGGCGTTCCGGCAGACCACGGTCGCGCAGGGCTTCCAGTTCATCGGGGGTCATCCGGTTCAGGGCATCGGCAGAAAACTGAATATTCACGGTAATTTCCTTACCGCCAGCCCCGCAGGGCTGGCGTGGTTGTTTATTATTATTCGCCATCAGGCGGCGTGGTGAGTGTCCGTTGCGGTATCATTCGCCGCCTCTGTTGCTGAGTGGGTGGCATCACCCCCTGCGTCAGCGTCCTGACGGACGGCTTCTGCCGCC